GTTCAAACATAGTGCGGACATTCCATGTCCCCATGTTTACTTTCGCTTTCATCGAGAGAAGGGGAGACAACACATAGGCCAACTAGCTTCCCGAAGGCTTTCAACAGCCGGCGTCATTTCATCTCTCCGATTCCAGCGAGGACTAAGTTTTTTTGTCATCTTTTTTGAATTTCTTTGTGCTTTGAAATTTTTTAGCGGCTGGATTAACTTTCCGGGGTAGGGTTGCTAGCCCCACACCCAGCCTTCTCTCTTTATCCGAGCTTAGGACCGGCTAGCAACTAATGAACTAGTAAACTAGGCGTGGTTTCTGCTTTAGATTAAGTTGGCTCTATTGCGTCATAACGTTTTAAGCGACGAACAGAAGTATAACAACGATAGTTTGCATTGGATAATTTGTCACAGAATTCACACTTAAAGAATAGCATATAAAAGAAGTGAAAGTATATATTTGTCAAATTAATTGCTTGGATAAACGGACATCACAGATTGCTAAACAAACCCAAGTGATATGTTCTTATATTGTTGTTTTTCTCACTTCATTAAACTTAGATGTTTTATTAATTGGGTCAAAATTTTGTAGTGTAAGAAGCTGCCCCATGACAGTCGATTCTGTCAGTGCCACAACTGTCAGTCAGAGAGTTTTCGATGAGAGAATGGAAAATAATGCTGGTAAAATGATGCATTTCATATACCTCATTACACCGATCTAGTTTTCCTTTTTCTAACTGTGAATAAAATCATTTTGGAACTAAGTATTTTTGAACTTACTACTAAATAAGACGTGTAAATTGCAATTAGATGTCCGACTTAAGTCATCACTGAACTGCTTGTTTAATACACACCTTAGTTTATATGTGCTTTCCCAATGATCAAGTTTCTGCAAATGTTGGTTTCATAGTAAGCAGTTACTCCTTATGCTACATACGGATACGGGAACCTCTGAGCAAAACAAAGACATGGAATTCACTGTAAAGGATACCAAGAAATGTGAAATCTAAGAGGATGAAACCTGGAATTTACTTCATTAGGGCATCTGCAAAAACTGCCCTCTTGAACATTTACAGCATTTAAACTAAGATACTCCAAATCAAGTAACCAAGTTAAACTTGTTATTATTCTCAACGACACAATTTTTATTCACTCTTATATGATACGGTGTAGAGTGAGTTTCTGTCTTTCAAATGGTAAAATCAGTGGCTTAAACCACTAGGCTGGTAAGTCGAATACCGCTGGTTCGATTCCTAACACTATCCGATTTTCATTTCATCCTTAACTTTCACCCAATATGAATAAGTTTTATGTTCCAGCTTTTCTTATAAAATGACGAATTAACTGGCAGAAATTAGGTTATTAAAAATTATCTTATTTCTGCATCCACAGAAGGATGTTTCCAAATTTTCATATTCGTCTAACTGGACTGATTCCTGAGGTGCACTACATGCTTGCATTGGATTTTATACCATGTGATGAAAAACGCTATCGTTATTCGTTTCGTACTTCAAGTTGGGTACATGCAGGTTAGTAAATTAGTACAATGTCTACACTAAAACACTTTTTGCATATTTTTCCCTTGGAACACTTCATTAGGTGTTTGATTTGAGAAGATTTTTATAGCTAAGCAGCTTTGAGACCACCTAAAAAAAATGACACCGCTATCAAAATTTAAATGACAAAGTTTCAAACCAAAACCTTCATACCGAATTGTCTTTCCTTTTACTGTTTACTTTAAAACAAAATAGTGTTATTAGAAGGATAAGGCGAGAAGATCTTAACGCCTCAACAAATCCCCTTTGTGACGCTTTTGTAACAACGAACCTTATCTCTCAGATGAACTCAGGGTACAGTTCATTTTAAGATAGACAGAAGGCCACTGAAGTACTTACATTGTTTATCTGACTGGCATGCAAGTGAAAGGTGTGGTTTATAGTCAAAAAGGAATAAAAGTGTTTTAAGTGTAAAAATATTTCATTTCAACATCAAAGAAGTTAGAAGAAACGATGGTAAAGGGAGAGGAATTTATAAAACTGTTGAAGTAGGAATAAAATCTTGAAAGGCAATCAACATTTTTCAAATATTACTGGTTTCTGCATTTGAAATATACGTTTATGGTCTAAGCGACAACTTATGATACTGAAGTGAGATGAACTGATGTAATAATCTTGGCAACTGTCGGTAAATTGCTTTAACATTTCTCATATGATGGGCCGTCTTCCGTCAGTATCTTTCTTATTTTATTGAACTATAAATTTTGCTTTCATATTTCGAGGTAGTTTTCTTCATCTGATACTGTTTCACCTCTTAATTGAAATGAAATGAATAATTTATCAATAAAAACAAGGGTTTTGTAATCAGTCGACAATGAAATCTTGGGTCAAAAGGAGAAAGGTTCATCCTTTCACTGAGAAGCTTGTAATAAGGAGTAAGACTGATTCTTATCTACTACTGAAGTGTGCTAACATATTTATGAGAACATTCTATGTAGTGTTGGACTTCAGTAAATGCGTAAACCATTCAGAATACCACCTTTAGGCTAATAAATATAAGTTATGTTTTTTCGCACAATTTTCTGAACTTGTCAAATAAAGCGAACTTCGTTGACACTATATTGATGATGCATATACCTAAAAAGCTTGCATTGTTTAGTTCTCAGGAACTATGCATACACAAGTGTTGCCCATTTCAACTGACCACAATCAAGTAAGGTAACAAATTTATCATGAAATTATTATGATAAAGGAAAAATCATCTTTGGGTTGTTGTATCTAGTATTCCCCATTATGATATTATTTGCTTCGTGAATGCCTTCCAGATAGTTTGTCCTACAAATTTTTAAGGATTACCAAACAGACTCTTTGAAGACAAAGAGGAGTATTCGATAACAACTATTACTATTACAACTATTAACGGTATTCAGAATTAGATCTAATGAGGGTGGAAGTATTTTTGCCATCTTTCAGTCATGGTCAAATTATTCCAGTTTGGATGCAAAGCTGTTTTCGAATAATAACAATTAAAACTCTCTATTAATTGGAAGTAAAAGGCTTCTTTTTAATAGATTATGTGGTATCAAGTTGTTACTCATCATGGAATGACATCAGTTGGAGCAACACTGGAAACTTGAGAGCACTGAACAGCTGTTTCGTCTTGGTATGAGACTCATCAGCAGTGCGGAACCATGACCTCATCCTTAGGATCAAATCCATGACTTTCAAGTTCCCTAGTGTGCGCGTTAACTATGAGTCACTCAGTCGGAATCCAACTTATCAGTTCACAACATAGCGCGACTATCACCCAATGTTATCACTGAGTACTTGTCTTCACGCCCACCAGATTATAAGGAGTCAAGAGTTAATAAAACATAGTCAGTCAAACGTTGTGCAGTTTGGAATAACTTACATCGCTAACCACTTTGTTCCAATAGTATCAAGCATATGAATTTATGAGTGAATGCTAAGTACTAGTCTTAATAGTTATATAGTAAAGGAGCAAAATAGCCGTGTAGTAAATAAACGTAGCCAGTCTTCATTTAGTACATCGGGTCGAAACGTTTAACTTAAAGTGCAGTTATGTCCAGCTGAGGAGTCCCAAATAAGATGAAACATGCGTTCTGTATTCCTTCGTCAGCCGCTCTGAGGTAAACTACAGTTTATTGCATATCCAAGCAGTATTAAAGTATCCTCTATAAGAGCGTATGGCAGAGCAACTTGACCCATTAGAGCAACAAGTACCAAGAAGCAACAACTGACACCCATTGAACAAGAGTTAACTGCCGTATGACAGTGGACTGTTAGATACCAGCTTGGGGCTTAAAGTGATAGGTGCTGGGTTCGAGTCTCACTGGGAATGCCATCATTCACCGGTGTGTAGGTACATCCAAATAAAACGAAACAGATTGGAAGAAATATAAGTTTCTGATTTCCCTGCTAGCCACCATCAAGTAAACCACAAAGAATTTTTGCAAAAATGGTGATTTCTGCTGGACATGTATCTGAGATATAAAGTTGATATTGCTTGAAGTGATTTCACTGGGCAACAAGTATATTTATGTAAAATTTCTAAAAAAATTGGCTTTGAAGTCATTCTAAACTGCAAAGTTAAACTTAAACAGCGTAATGGGAAGATGAAGATTATCTGAAACACGTGATGTATTAGCGCTATACATTTCGAACAGTCTGATCATACATGTACTTGTCGAACTATTTATGTGAAAATGTATACACTAATGACACCAGGGAGGAAGAAACCAACTTACTGATGACAGCACTGATACAGAATGGATACCCGTTGAGATTCCCCGACAGGCACAAAAGTCATGTACCATTGAAAAGTATACAATGTTCCGTTGCTAAGATAAATGTCTACATCTCATTACCATTTAGAGGTGATTCACATAGCTTTGTTGTGAGGAAAAGACTTTGGTCCGCCATCTGTAAAACGTATTATGCAGCCAAGGTCATCATTGTAGAGAAGACAAAGTCCATGTCATAGCACAAACCAAAACAATTTATAAACGATTACATCACATCCCACTGTGTTTATCAATTTACATGTATGTGTGGACACACATATATAGGGAGGAGTAATCGTGATATGCAGTTAAGGTAGGTTGAACATGTACCTAAGTGGCTACAAAAACAGATGACCTCAACAGATCCGATAAGTGCAGGTGACAAACATCCAACTTCGTCTATCGTTAAACATATACTAGAGACTAACCATAGGATAGACATGAAAACAGCCTTTAAAGTACTGCATAAAAGTGGTCAGAGCCGAGTGCTTAAATTTATTGAAGCTCTTGCCATCCGTAAATTCAAACCCCCTTTATGTGTACAAAAATAATTTGTACTCACGTTAAACCTACCTTGGTAGTATTGATTTCAATTTTTATATCAACAGTAACGTTCTTTTCTTTTATCTCCCTTCCCAATTAACTTCATTGACCCTTCTCGTAAATTTTCACATAAATAGTTCGGCAAGTACATGTGTGATCAGACTGTTCGAAATGTATAGCGCTAACACGTCACATGTTTCAGATAATCTTCATCTTCTCACTAAGCTGTTCAAATTTATCAAAGGGACCAGTTGCTTTAAATTTGCAAAGTTAAGCATTTTACAGCATTATTATAAGTGAATACTTTTAAAAGTCCTGTATTATTCGCAAAAAGGATTCATATATTGTATAACGAAGGTGACTTCAGTGATGAGACCATCCATCAATACATGCAGTAGGTTGAGGATATTTCCTCTGTGATGACTTAAAAACAGTGAATGCGTAATCCTTGGAAACCGTTTTGCTATGTACAAGCTAAATGACAGTGGAACACAAACTTTCACATCTTACATTTGTCTTTTGATTCTGAAGCAAACATCATATGAATGTGCAACCTTTGAACTTGTCAAATAATGGCAAATATCATTTATACGATGTTATATACAGGATAATGGGGGATACGCTAGACCGCGGAAAAGAGCCTAGAAGACTTGGATTTCGCCGATGACTTGTGTCTAATGTCGCACAAACTCGAAGATCTATAGGCGAAAACTAACAAGTTGACAGAAGGGACAGGGCAGCGAGGACAGGACTTCAAGTGAACGTAGATAAGACAGAGGTGATGAAGACACCCAACCAATAACACCACCAACAACAACAAACTCCAACTTAAAAGAAGTAGCCTTTTTTACCTACACCTACATAGGCAGCATCGTTTCAACTTGGCGCGTTACGAAAAGCATTTCCAATGAACTTCAGACATTCATCAACAACTGCCTACGCTGGCTCGTTACTGAAAATCAAGTGGCTAGAATAGTAGGAATCAGAAACAAGGAACTCTGAGAATGAATCAACCAAAGACCTATCGTTGAACAAATATGCACTGGAAGGGAGTGGAGATGGATTGGGCGTACACTGAGAAGGCCGACTGGGGACATCACGCGCCAGGCCACGCCCTCTAGTGGAACCCTGATGGGAAGCGACGAGTTGGGCGTCCAAGGTGAGGGTGACATGGAGGAGATCGTGCGAGGAGGAAATGAGAGCTTGTGGGCAGTCGTGGAGCCAGGTTGAAAAGATTTCAGAGAACAGAGATCATTGAATACGTGCTAGTGAATCCCTATGTTCCATTAGGAACCCAAGAGACAAATAATAATAATAATACAGAATAATACATACAACATAATTTGTAGACAGTGAAAGGGAACAGGCGTCTAGAAGTGTGAAGAAATATTTTGGTAACCAGTAGTTACAGGTATAATAATTTCAGTTACAGCTATCGTATGTTAGATTTTGTTAGATCATCTGCTCAAATTTCGTCAAATATATTCAATCTTGAAAAAAGTATCACATTGACACTACTGCTGTGTAATGTAATAAACATTAGATGATTAACGGGTTTTTTCATTATTCCGTTACTATTTATTACTTGTTATTTTAGGCAAAGGTGATCCACAAATTACACCACGAATACACTTACATCCAGATGGAATAGCAAGTGGGACGTATTGGATGCGTCAGGCTATATTATTTGATAAACTCAAATTAACCAATAATCCATTCGATCAAAATGGTCATGTGAGTCTTCCATTTTCAGATGTCACAGATATCACTGTTATATTAAATTTAATCTTAATAGCTAACTATCTTAAGACGAAATAGAAATACATTTTTCTTGCTTCCAAATGAAGCATATGCTATTCATTCTTCAAGGCAAGAAGTTACTCATCATCATTTAACTTAGAACATAATCAAATCGTTCAAATTATTTTTTTTACCAATTCGACTATTTGAGATAGCCGTGATTTGGTAGAATTACTTACATTGATACTGGGTGACGATTGAAGGGGAAATAAAAGTTTGCTCCGTGACAGGATTAAAGTCCGTGACAATACATGAAATAATTTGCTTTCATGCTCACTAGTATGACAGATGTCTTTGAAATTGGTTACAAGAAAATGATTGAATTTTAGGCGCGTATGGAATGAAATTCATTAGTGGGATATTTAGGTATTTCACACAGTGTAGAATACAGCTAAAGTCATTTTAGGCCACTAGATTGAATTATTCAGTAACCTAGATTTTTCTTCCAATCACTTTTATGATCCCTTTGAATTCATTGAAATCTAGTATTTTGATAGAATGTGAATGTCAACTGTCAAGCTACTATATTTCAAGTTATAAAAAGTACTCAAAGTTTAGGATACGTGAAGTACAAATGAATAGTAATTCTCATGTTCCAACAGACAGTAAATCCCTTATGGGCAATCAAGATTTACAATCCATGTAATCCGTGTAATAGTATGTATTTCCGGCTAGTATTCATCATACAGTGACATAAATTAGAAAAACACTGGAAAGTTGAAAGCATTGGACAGCTGTTTTGTCCTAGTGTGGGACTCCTCAGCAGTGTGTGCCAATGACCGCTCCTCTCCAGGGATCGAAGCCAGAACCTTCAGGTTCCAGGGCCAGCACGTAACCAGTGAATCTCTCGGTTGGAATCCAGTGGTTCATATTTCCTACTTCTTTGAGTTCACGACTTAGCGCATCTTCCTTCTAACGATGTCACTGAGTACCTTTCCTCATGTCCGACTTTGTCGGCCCCACCGGTGGCGACTTCTCATTGAAACTTTGGGAATCACTTCTCGAAGCTAGTCACTTATGATGAATACCAACTTGAAACCATGAACGTGATTCATCATTGTGAAAAATATGAATGGAAGTGACTGTGGATGGCACCACTGATTAGATCAGTATCAGTACTTTAAATTGTATCCACTCATTTCTAAGGAAACTGGCTTCACATATGAAGACAGTTCATCCTTATTACCTAGATAAAGCTAATCGGCAGGAAGCCCTGGGCCTAGGCTACGAGCTTATTGACACTTGTCAGCAAGACCTGTCTGCATTTTCAAGGGGCCTGAAGTCCCACCTGGGATTCGGACTCGTGCGGCAGTCTAAGAAATTACCCCCATACTGCTAGACCAGCGGTTTGCTTTCGGTAAGACTGTTACCATTGGGTAACTTACCTCACACTGTCTAGTCGTAAGTGCAGATCGATTTCTATCAATCATTCTGCTATATGGTATCCGGCCCGAAGAACCCAGCGGTACTGTTTCTGACTGCAGCAGTTGGTGTTACGAGTTCAAACCTCGAACGGAGCATTATTCTCCTGGAGGATGTAGATTTGCTTTGCTGACCAGTGGCGATAAACACGGAATTCAATTTCAGTACTTCCTACTTATTGTCTCCATCCAACTAACACACGTTGCAGTGCACAAGGGTGGTAGCCATATTGCCCTTTTGACTAGACAAAGTGAAATTGCATGCCCTCTAGTGACCAATCAACTTACATTTCATCCTTCCTAAAAACTGTTTATTGAACGGAATTTTTCATGTATAGCATATCTGATTTAAACGAAAAGCCCTTCTTCATGTCTTGAAAGCTTCAGGAATATTGTTAGATATGTAACTGTTTATTGTTTCAGTTTTGTTTCTACAAGTTGTGCTCAAAAACGTGACCTTCAAGAGCTAAAATATTATGATTTGATATTCAGTGAGCTGAATAACTAATTACCAATCGATATTTGAATTATGATCATCATCATTATTATCCCTTCTCTTGAATGATGTGTAGACTAAATTTATCTTAAATTTTTGAGGGGGTTGTGGAGATTTGGAAATATTTCAAGTTGTTATTCATCGAAGACTGACATCAGTTGGAGGAACAAAGGAAACCTGGGAGCACTGGACAGCTGTTTCGTCCTAGTACGAGACTCCTCAGCGATGCGCACCCACGACCTCACACCAGCAGGGATCGAACCCGCGACCTTCAGGTTCCGCGGCCAGCACGTTACCACTGAGCCACTGGGTCGGAACCCAATGCTCCATATTTCCAACTTCTGTTAGCTCACGATATAGCGCAGACCGCCACCCAATGTCATCGTTGAGTATTTGTCCTCACGGCCATCAGGCTTTGACTCCACCGGTCACGACTTGTCATTGGAACTTCGGGAATACTTCTCGAAGCTAGTCACCAATGAGCACCAGTTCAATTAAATTTTTGAGGGGTTGTGGACAAATACTCAACGATGACATTGGGTGGCGGTTTGAGCTATATCATGAGCTAACAGAAGTTGGAAATATGGAGCATTGGATTCTGACCCAGTGGCTCAATGATAACGCGCTGGTTGCGGAACCTGAAGGTCGCGGGTTCGATCCCTGCTGGTGTGAGGTCGTGGGTGCGCATCGCTGAGGAGTCTCATACTAGGACGAAACAGCTGTCCAGTGCTCCCAGGTTTCCTTTGTTCCTCCAACTGATGTCAGTCTTCGATGAATAACAACTTTAAATTTATCTTGTTTAAAACTGTTCACTGTTCATCTGATATATAGCACACAGTGGTACAATATAATTTATTTGATAACGTTTGGAACACAAATTATTATCTATCATAAACGTATCACTATAATCATATAGCACTTTCAACATCTGATTTTATGTAGTCCCGTCACCTCATATTCTTTGTTTTTATCGGTAGTAAAATTTTCCATATCTCTAGTACGGATGTTATGTCATTTATTTTAAATGTATTGGGTAATGATTTGATGAACAAAGATTTAGTAATCAATCACTCTCTCCACCTATTTAGATTGAACTTAAGTATAACAATTTTATCCCACCCTACTGTGTGGTTATGTGTTAGTGCATGCATTTCAATAGCCGAGTTGCTTTCTACATTATTGATCACATTGGGGTCATTCTGTCATTCTATATTTAACTAAATTCTTATGCTTGACTATTCTAACTGCCCCCAACCGGCTAGTCTGACCTATGTACTTGACACAACAGTCATTGTAGGGAATTTGATAGATTAGATTATTTTGCTTTGCTGGATCTATCGGATCCTTGAGGTGACAAAGCTTATCTCTGAGTGAGTTTGTAGGTTTAAATACCATCCTATTTCTAGCCTTATTGAGAATACTACGTAGAGTTTCCTATGTTTCTTCCTTATACGTTAACACAATAGAGGCTTCGAAGTTATTTCTACTCGTTTTGTCGCTATTATTCGTATTCATATTACTGTTATCATTTTGTTTCTTACGTGTTCGTACGAATTTCTTAAATGGTAGGGGATAGCTATTAATTGTTAACGCTTCTTTTATGTGTTCCAATCCCTTGTTTAAGTTCTTACAATGACAGTGAGCTTTTTAACTACGTCATTTAGACATTCGACTAAACCCGCCTTAACTGACATTGGATGAGATAACCTGAAGTCAGGATACCTGTTCGAATGTGTTGGTTTCCTGTAAACGGCGGTATCCAAACCATCGTATGTTATACATTTTACTCTACAATCTAGTATAGGTAATTCTCCTTGTTCATTTTCTACCTACTAAGAGAAATAGACGCATTCAAGTTCACTTACGAATGTCTAAATGATACAGCTAAAAAAACTCGCTACTCACTCTAAGGGCTTAAACAAGGAATTAAAACACATAAAAGAAGCGTTAATAATTAAAAATGATCCTTTGCAGTCTAATAAGAAATTGCTGATAATAATACATTCCATATCGTTTGAGGTCTATGGGGATTCTATTTTCAAGTTATTATTCATCACTGATTAAAATCAGACAGCGAACCACTGAAAACCACGAAGTACTGGACAGCTGTTTCTTCTTAGTAAGGGAAAATTGCAGTGTTTTGAAGATTACTTACTATATCATTTTGTCTCTTTACAACATCATCAGCTGTTGCAAAACCATAAATATATATTCTAAACACACGAACCACTAATATTTGGAAAATGTTGATTGCCTTTCGAGATCGTGTCCTTCTTTTATTCGTTTTATAAACTCATTTCCCTTTACCACCATTTATTCAAATCTGTTGGAGTGTTGCAGTGTGAAGTATATACTGATTTTACTTCAATACTACCTTAATATGTTCATTAGTGACATGCTTTTAGATGTATATCCCGGAGTTATAATAGGAAGACATGACCTGTTCGGTCAACCATGTTGGAAGTGAAGCGGTTACCAAGTGAACACTTTGGTATACTGTAATGCTATATCGCGAATTAACAGAGACAAGACAAAGTAAACTATTGGAGCCTATGACCAGCTGGTTAAGGCACCAGCCATGTAAACTAAAGTTACTCCTTTTGGTCATTTTTGGAGTTGTGTATACGTACTGCTGAGGAGTTGTCTAGTACTGGGACAAAACAGCTGGCGAATGCTGCCAGGTTCCCAATCTTTCTCCAACTGATATTAATCCATAGTGACCACTACCTTACAAAAATGTCTTCAAATCAACCACTTTCTTAAAATTTACATACACATGCGTCTTAGTAAACCCTATCATTGAAACATAAGTGATTCCATTTGTAAAAGCTTGACGTTCGTGTGTCAACAACGTTCTGGTACCTGAATAATTTTGTATTGTTCTGTGTCCAGTAATTTCACGAACCCAGGTATAACTGAACTGAGTCATAGAGGAGTTCTTTTCTGTTCTTCAACATAAGTTTCTACTCATAGTAATCATGGATAGCGGTTAGCAATAGGATCCAGGATGCGTATTTCATCCTATTCTGGACTCGTTAGTTGAATATACCTGCCTTCCATTGAGTGATTTTGTTCCCACCAAGACTCGAACCCGGAACCGATCGCTTCAAATGCCATAGTGTTGTCCACTAGACCACTGAGCCAAAACAACCACTTCTTGTGCGATAGGTTTAATTTAGACCAAATTGATCGGTTTCTATCGGCATTCGGGTTCCTGCGCGGATGCCTCGATATTGCCTGTGTTTTAATTATTTATAATAATGACGGACAGTGGCTAGCATTCGAACCCAAAATTTGCATTTCATCGTCAGCTGACCCATTCCGTCCAACCAGCGACGGAATAATACAACCAGTAGCACTAAAAATTATACCCGTCGCACAAGAAGTGATTGCCTTGGCTCAGTGATCTAGTGGATAACACTATGGCATTTGAAGCTATCGGTTCTGAGTTCGAGTCTTGGTGGGAACAAAATCACTCACTGGAAGGCAGATATATTCAGCTGATGAGTCCCGAATAGGATGAAATGCGCATCCTGTATTCCACTGCTACCCACTATCCGTCATTACTACATGTAATTAAAACACAGGTAATGTCGAGGCATCTGCGCAGGAGCCCTTATGCCAATAGAGACCGATTAATTCGGTCCAATCAACGACAGTATAATAAAAAGCAATAATATTGAATACTATAATCCTTTATTCATTCAAGTGTTGATTTTACGGTAGTATATTTAAATCTTTATAAATTTTTGAATGTGTATCATAAGTAACACTATTTCTAGGTGCTAATAATTGTGGTTTTGCTAGGTAGTAGATTTTCCTAAACTCCAGTCTGTTAATATTGTAGTTGTAGTAAACTATAACTCTCTAGTTAGCTTTATGGGCACCGCATGGGGAACCTGTATACTACATTACCTACATTACATTTAAATGAGCCATTCAGAGTGCTAATCACACAAAGATCTTATTCATCAACGTTTTTCAGGGATAAATAAGTTAATGTTAGGTGTACACATGAAGTTGTGCTACTGTAGGTACACCTTTTTCAGTTATTATCCACATTATATTGTGGTCTCTAGCTACTTCATAAGAAGTATCGTACACTTTATTCATTTCTTTTAAATCTATAAAGCAAAGAATTTCATTGACTAGTGCAGTCAACAATGAATAAACTGGCTTCATGGGATCTTTTTTAGACTTTTTCATACTAACAAAATTTCATTCACCTGTACAGCATATTTCTTTGTTGCAATAGTATACTCATGCATAACTTCTATTTTTCAAGTATGAAAGTAATCTAAATTTTGAGGGAGTTGTGGAGATTTGGAAATATTTCAAGTTGTTATTCATCGTAGACTGACATCAGTTGGAGGAACAAAGGAAACCTGGGAGCACTGGACAGCTGTTTTGTCCTAGTATGGGACTCCTCAGTGGCTCAATGGTAACGCGCTGGCCGCAGAACCTGAAGGTCGCGGGTTCGATCCCTGCTGGTGTGGGGTCGTGAGTACGCATTGCTGAGGAGTCCGATACTAGGACGAAACAGCTGTCCAGTGCTCCCAGGTTTCCTTTGTTCCTCCAACTGATGTCAGTCTACGATGAATAACAACTTGAAATGGAAGTAATCTATTGTTTTCAAGACCTGATGATAAATAACTAACAGTTTTTAGAGGTTGAGAATTATTGAAAAAGCTTAGTACAGAAACATTTTAAAATCTATTTCCCGTCATTTATAGGAAAAGTCATTTTCTAGCCCATATAATAGTGATACATGTTGCGAGGAACGGAACATTCCAGAATTATGTTCTTTTAGGGGTCAAAATATCTGGAATAACAAAAGGGAGTTAATGAACACAGATAAGTGTTTGAAGTCGGAAGAAGAATAAATGATTCAGAAAGCAAATACATTTAGGTAACGCAAGATTTATTAATAAAGTCAAGGTTTTATGGTGGTTAAAGACAGAGGCTGAATGTACCCTTTGAATACGATGCTGGTTTAAACTTCTGAGTAATTAGTACTTCAGCAGTACCCTAATCCCCTCGTTTCGCTGCATTCAAGTGGCTTGGTCGAACCTTTTAAATGATTTTAAAATAGTTTTCAATATGAGCCGAGTAAGCTCAATTCATAAAGTATTCTGTCATTGAGCTGAGGACGCATTTCGGTTCTCCCTTTGTTAGCTAGGCTGGGTAGTATTCTCAAGCATGTTTTATAACCAGTTACATGGTATCACCTGGAATAACTCTCAAGTTGCTTACCCTTCGTAATGCAGATGACTTCAATAAAAAGAAAAAAGCTTCCTTACTACAACCGTCTATGATCAAGTTGTTGTCTTTTATTAATTAGGAATATGATTTTGAAAGTTCATGAGTCTAACTTTCCGTTCTCATACTGCAGTGAATTTAAATTTCATTTTTAAAATTACATCTAAGTGTCCTTCAAAGTGCAGTTATGCTACAGTGTCCTTGTAACTTTGAAGAAACAAAATTTTCAGTCAGTACGGTAGAACATGATTTTTTATTGCATTCAATATAAGTATATGACCTTATAACTTTGATAAGTGATGTTACTAAGCGATGTTTAGCGTCAGTTCTTATACTAAGGGATCATTTTGATGAGTACCATAATATCTTCATTTGACTACTAGAAACTTAAAACTGTTTAGTTCATGGAAATTATTTGCTTCATTGAATAGTATTTCAAAATTAGTTAGCGTTTCATTTTCTATTATCTGCTAATATACAGATGGAAGTTATCTTGAATTTACGGCCATCAATTAGGACTTTAGGCCAATTTTGAGCAGCATTCACATGATATAACTGTGAATGACAGTTGGTTATTTGTTACTTGAAAAGTTTTTTATCTGGACTGCTTTCCAACATCACTCCTCGCTTCTACCTTAGTAAATATCAATCTGCTAACTAAAACTGTCTCGACATTTCGCCGATTCTGTTTTGTTTTCACCATCATTAGAATGTCTTGTATGAAGAACATAGTTTTTGAATGGTTCAATATCACTCAAATTACAGTGGAAATGAATTCTTGGACTTCAAGTAGAATTCCAGATTTGAGAAGTGGTTGAATCGCTTGTGTGTAATGAAGATGACGAAGTAATGTTTTGTACCCGTAGAACGAAATTCCTTCTTAGGTTTCAGCCAGTTATTTCCTTCAAAGCAGAATACATTATGGACTGAAATCAATTGGAGAACCGTTGAACACCTGAGGTCAGTGGACAGCTGCTACTTCCCAGAATTTAACTCCCCAACAGCATCCCCACGACCACACCAGTGGTCGGACTCAGACTCTTCAAGTCATGGCTAGCGTGTTAACCATGTTAACCACAATATGATCAAGTTTTCCCCCTTAGGTATGAGTTATGAAATTAGACAATCATTTGCCATTTGAAATACTGTGCATTATCAAGCTTGCGTTTTTCATTCAATCTCATAAAGAGATTTCTCCCCTGTGATATCTCCTGATGAGGAGAAAGGCACCAACAGGTCTTCTATCAGTAGTTATATTCTGTACGTTGGCTACTTCATGTGTGCAATCGTTTTTTAACTTGATCTTGTTTCTATCTTTGAAGTGACGATTATCATACCGGCTAATCCGCCATTTTTTTAGTCTTTGTTGTATCTTTAGAGTTTTATTTGGGTTTTCAAATTCGTAGGTGTATTAATGTTACTTATTTATCACTTTGTCATCAATGTTTTCACTATTATTTTGCACCTTCTTCAAAAGTGTGGTTTTTAGTGAACCTTGAGTGTTTTTTTGTCACCCCAGTTTACCAAAGCTGACTTCTTGAAAATTGAGCCGACTATACTAGCTTAAGATCATACTGAGACGCATAGCTTTTAAGTCAGTCATTATTGTGATTTCTTACCAGCTTTCCTCCATCTTGAAATTCTTTGCTTTTAGTACAGATATACGTTTACTACACTATGTATAACAGTGATATGATGAGTTTTGCACGTGCTTTTAGTACCTAATATGTTAACAGAGTATAAGGTGATGGATTCGATTGAAAATATTTTAAAATTTTTGGATTTTTTGTATAACAGTAGGCTATCTTTAGCTAATAGGATTTCTAACACGTCGTAACTGAAGATGAGGTAGGCATTTCATGTTCTATAGTTTTCAGTTGTTCCATAACTTATGTTAAATACTATACTGTTTGTTCTTAAAGACTTTCAGGTAATCACCTCCTTTAGTCTGAGTATAAACCAATATTTTCCTTTTATTTAATTCACAATCTATATAGATAATATTAAATTCAATGCATAAATATCAAACTAGGCTGCATGTTATCTATGCAGATGAAATGGATGAAGTTATGAAGAGAAATGACAAAGAAATAAGTTTGTTTTGTACAAATTCACCAAGATGTATGAAAAGAACATTTACATTTCCAGAGACTAAATTTTTCGCTGTAACAGCTTATCAAAATAACAAAGTAAGTATGCTATTTGCTTTAAAAAAATCATATTTTATTCCCCATTTTCCAAAGTTGCCAGTGATTTATTTTTTATCTGCTGAAGGACTTGAAAGTGTTTAATTATGAGGTGGTATATGGGGATGACGTTAAGACAAAATAACTACAGTATTTGTTACTACATAATTGCAACGCTACGCCTCGTCATAGGACAGAGAGTAGAATGGTAGTCAGCTCTGTACCTCAACTTCATCGACTATGAAAAGGCCTTCGACAGCTTCGATCAAGAAGTAATTTAGCAGCTGCTTAAACACTACGGTATTAGTGCTACAAACCTTTATCAACCTCATTTAACAGCTACATGAAGACGCCACATGCCGAGTGATCACAATGGAAGTTTCAGTGACGCCTTTGAAGTGGAGACAAGAGTAAGACGAGGTTGTCTCCTACTATCACCGATGATCTTCCTGATTGTGGTCGGCTGGATCATGCAGGAGACAACTGTAAAGAGCGGTGAGAAGATGGGCATACGCCGTTTGACCGACGGAAAGACCCTAGAAGAATATTTGGATTTCGCCGACGATGATTTATGTCTGATGTCTTGTCGCACAAACTCGAAGATGTACAGGTGAAAACCAACAAGTTGGCAGAAGAGGTGAGGCAGCGAAGATGGGACTTCAGGTGAATATAGAGAAGACAGAAGTGATGAAGATACCGCACCAACAACAACAACAAACACTAATCACCATCAACGGGAGAAACCTAAAGGAAACAGTCTCTTTCACTTACCTAGGTAGCATCGTTTCAACTACAGGCGGCACTGACGAGGATGTCAAAACCAGAATCGGAAAAACAAGACAGGCTTTCACTAATCTGATATCGGTGTGGAGATCTACTGCACTCAGCACAAAGAACAAGATCCGGATTTTTAACACTGAGTCGGTCAAGTCAATGTTTCTGTGTGATGGTTCAGAAACTTGGCGTGTCATGAAAAGCATTTCCAACGAACTACAGACATTCGTCAATAGCTACCTACGCTGGCTGGATACTGAAGATCAGACGGCCAGAAAAAATAAGCGACAAAGAACTCCTACCTGGCAACGAACCAATTAAGAACCTATCACTTGACAAATATGCAGAAGAAAGTAGAGATGGATTGGACTGGACATGCACTGTGAAGATCGATTGGGGACACCAGGCGCTAGGCCAGGCCGTCGAGTGGAGTCCAAAGGGGAAACGATGAGTTGAGCGTCCGGAGGTGGCATGGAGGAGATCATGTGAGGAAGAAATGAAAGCTTCTGGGCAGTCGTGCTGCCAGGTTTAAAAGACTGTGGAGAAGAGAGTGGAATGGAGGCGTGCTGTTGAAGCCGTATGTTCCATTAGGAACCCAAGGGAAAAAATAATAATAATTTGTTACTACGTGGGGGAATAAAGTTACTTACAGGAGGAACTCTTCACCTGTTGCAGAGATTTAAAACTCAGAAGCCATAACTGCAATAAGTTGATTTTTCAACATGATATTCCTCACAGTTGGATCAAGCAGAGTGGTACACAAGCATCTAGGATCAAGCGGTGGTGTGATTATGTCAAATATATACGTCGACATAAGTCTAAAGAACTAGCTAATTTCACCACCAAGCATAAGTTCCGTTCGAAAATGTAGTTAGTGAGAGAAGTCGACAACTGGGTAACCAGGTTGAAGACAGTGTTATCTGAAAACATCATATAAACTATACCTGTGGCACAAGAAGTGGCTGTCATGACTCAATGACTCAATGGATAACTTTCTGGTGTCTGAAGCGATCAATCCCCAGTTTGATTCTTAGTGAGAACAACACGGCTCACTGAAAGGTAGAAAATCCAGCTGATGAGTTGCAAATAAGACGAAACGTACGTCCTGGGTTCCATTGCTAGCCACCATGCAGCATTAATATCAGTTGGTTAAGTTTATAGATTATGTATTTAATGTGTACTCGGAAATTAAGCACTTACAAAGGTGTAAATAATTTATTCTTCATGAAATGCTGCCATAGGTCAAGGTCAAGAATAAATACTGCCATATGAATTTCTTCCAAAATACTACTAATTGTCTTTCTTATAGAATGAAAGTTGTATTATCTTGATTTTAGTAAGTACATAACTTCAAAATTCACTTTATCTAGGTTAAATAAATCTCAACGTATGCCGTTTACGAAAGAAGAGATATGTAGATGGTCAGCTTCTATATGTTATTCCTTGAAGACTTCCCACCCCAATTTCCGATAGAAGTCCATCAGATTATCTCTATAATATAAATCATAAGCTAAACGAGTTGATATTACAGTTGACTAATTACGTAAGAGTTGGGGTTTATCTTCGATTTCTATACTGCATCAAAAGCTGCAATTCCACAATACTTTAGACTTTAATTAAATTGAATGAAATATTTCCCTCCTGTTTTGTTGATAATCAGGTAACATAACAGTTGTATCAGGGAATGACAGTAAAAAACAGTTACTTGTATCCTGAACTCCATTAGACATATGAACTGGGGGGATCAATGACGGTTGCTGATTATGAAGTAGGAAACTTAACCAAGTTGTCAGTAGCACAGGCTTTCACAATCATTGATGAAAATGACAAAACTTGCTATCAGGGTGGAAAACAGAGAGCTTAAGGTCGGTATGACCTCAACAAGTATGAGTACTTATATTTATTAATATGCCTTCTTAAGGAAAAGTAATGTTTCAAGTCCAATTTAAAAACCAATAAAGTTTACGTAACTGTGCTTTGTTTACCACAGGGTTGTAAGTAGTGCTTTACTAATTACTTTTTCAATTTAGGGGTTTTTAGGGATTTATTCATTGATTTCTGGTTGGTATTCATCAGGTCGACCATGAGAACAGTTACTCACTGACAGTGTTGGTTGAGGATTGCACTATTTCACGCTAACATGCTGGCTGTAGCGTCTGGTGATCCTGGGTTCTATCTCTGGTGGTCGTGGTCATGGGTATGTACTGCTAAGTAGTCCCGTAATCAAATGAAATAGCTGTCTGATGCTCCCAGATTTCCAAAGTTTCTCCAGCTGATGTCAGTCCATGATGGGTGCTAACCTCAAATTAATTATTTATTCAAATGCTTAAAACTGGTCTATGCTGGAAGCTCGACAGAATAGTAGGAGAGATAAAACCATCTCAAAAATGTTTTTAGCTCTAACTTTCTTTTTTATTCAGTCATCAACAACCTTTCTAAATCATATGATGTTTGTATAGACCTGTTTAAAGCTTTGGAGAAACCTTCAAGGAGTGTTAAATTCATAAACCTTAAGACATTGCTTTCAAGTGAATCTAGATTTCAGTTGACTGGAGGCAGTCGCCAGTAAACTCTGAACCTAGTTTTCACTTTTGTTGGGACTCGTTTTCTGGGCGTATCTCCAACCTCAATGGAACTGATGTTTCATCTAAGCTATGAACGTGCATAACTCAATTTTTATTCACTTCAACAATATTATAATATCGACTGTATCACTGATTTTTTGGAATACGTTTTATTAGTATAAGAAAGTAAAATAAAAGATGACAAATTTCACCTTATGATCAAAAACTTTTTAGGTGACACAGTTGAAAATTTCTAGTAATCCATTCGCTAAAGGATTTCGAGATTGTGATTCTGAAAACTGGTGAGTAGAACTATATTAAAATGTGAATGTGACTAATGAAAATCTGATTTTATGTGTAAATGACTTGCGTTTTGATGAATAAACTGTTTTTGACTTCAAGGTCACATACATTTTGAGGCAACAGTCTAAATTAATGGGTTCATTTTGAATGCATGTTCTAACTGAACGAATTATCTCACTTCCACTTCAAATAATTTCAAAGTAGAGAATGATCTTGACTGAAAATTGTCACTTGGAATTATAAATATTTCTTTCCTGTTTAGTATGTGTTCTAGGAAGACTGTTTATCATATAGCATGGATTACATAAAGACTCCAGTTGAAATCAAACAGATGGTATTTTATTTATTTTATTATTAGTCCCTTGGGTTCCTAGTGGAACATAGGGCTTCAGTAGCACGTCTCCATTTCATCCTGTTCTCTGAGATCTTTTGAACCTGGTTCCACGACAGCCCACAAGCTCTCATTTCCTCTTCGCACGACCTCCTCCATGTCACCCTCACCTAGGACGTCCAACTCGTCTCTTCCCATGGGGATTCCACTCGAGCAACTGGCCTGACGCGTGATGTCCTCAGTCGGCCTTCTCAGTGCATGCCTAATCCATCTCCACTTCTTCCTGCATATTTGTTGCGTGATAGGTTCTTGGTTGGTTCGTTCCCAGTTTAGTTCCTTGTTGCTTATTTTTTCTGGCCATCTGATCTTCAGCAGCGAGCTTTTGTAAGCAGTTGTTGATGAATGTCTGTAGTTTATTGGAAATACCTTTCGTGACGGGCCAAGTCTCTGAGCCATACAAGAGCACTGACTTGACGTTGGTGTTGAAAATCCGTATCTTGTTCCACATGCTGAGTGCAGAAGATCTCCACACTGGTTTCAGGCTAATGAACACCTGTCTTGCTTTTCCGATTCTGACTTTGACGTCCTCGTCCGTCCCGCCTGTAGTTGAAACAGTGCTTCCTAGATAAGTGAAGGAGGTTACTTCCTTCAAGTTTCTCCCGTTGATGGTGACTGGAGTTTGTTGTTGTTGCTGGAGTTGTTGGTGCGGTATCTTCATCACTTCTGTCTTCTCTATATTCACCTGAAGTCCCGTCTTCGCTGCCTCTTCTATCAACTTGTTAGTTTTCGCCTGTACATCTTCAAGTTTATGTGACATCAGGCACAAGTCATCGGCGAAATCCAAGTCTTCTAGGTTCTTTTCCGTCGTCCAGTGTATCCCCCTCTTCTCGCTGCCTACTGTTTGCTGCATGATCCAGTCCACCACAATCAGGAATATCATGGGGGATATTAGGCAACTTTGTTTCACTCCTGTCTTCACTTCAAAAGCATCACTGAGCTGGCCATTGTGAATTACTTGGCATGTGGCATCTTCATATAGTTGTTGAATGAGGCGGATAAAGGTTTGCGGTACTCCGTAGTGTTGAAGCAGTTTCCAAATTACTTCTCGGTTGACGCTGTCAAAGGCCTTCTCAAAGTCGATGAAGTTGAGGTAGAGAGCTGATTGCCATTCTATGCTCTGTTCTATGATGATGCGAAGCGTTGCAATTTGGTCTGCACATGATTTGTACTTCCTGAAGCCTGCCTGTTCGGGTCACAGTTTTGAATCCAGTGCATCTTTAAGCCTCTCCAGGATGATGCGGCTTAATATTTTGCCTGGGGTGGACAGGAGAGTGATTCCTCACCAGTTCTTGTAAACACTGAGGTCTCCATTCTTTGGCAGTTTGACAAGGTAACCCTTCTTACAATCAATGGACAGGTACCTTCTCTTCCTTCCACACCTTCTGCAATAGTGGTGTGAGCATGTCCACTGTTGTCTCTGCATCTGTTCTCAGTGCTTATGGCGGGATCCCGTCTAGTCCTGCTGCTTTCCCACATTTCAGTAGCTTTATGGCACTCAGGACTTCTATTTTCGTTGGGGGATTTATGTTCACTTGTAATTCAGCGGCTGCAGGTGGTATTTCTGGACGAAGTGCAGGTGGTGGTCGATTCAAGAGCTTCTTGAAGTGGTCGGCCCATCGTTTCCTCTGTTTCTCTTCTTTCGTAATTAAATTTCCGACATCATCTTTTATTGGTTTCATCTGTGTTGGTCTCGCCCCTGATAGCAACCTGGTTATTTGATACAATGTTGTCAGGTCTCTCTTACCTGCAGCCTGTTCTGCTTCACTTGCCAGTGTTTCGTAGAAGTGTCTTTTGTCTTTGGGTGCACTCTTCTTCACTTCTTTGTTCAGTGTTTTATACATCGTGCTCAGTTCCTCTTGTCGTTGAGCATCCTTGCACTGGTTTATCTTCTGCTTCATCATCCTCCTCTCCTCTATCAGCTTCCACTTATCCATCGAGATCCATTCCTTGTCTTCTTTCTTCTTCCTTCCTAATACGGCTGTGCAGGTTTCTTTCCACATAGCTTTCAAAGACTTCCAGTGTTCTTCCACACACGTTTCTTCAGGGATGTTGCTCGATGTCTCCCATTTTGTCTTGATGGCTGCCTTGAAGATCTCCTTTGTAGTTTCATCCTTCAGTTTCCGAGTGTTGTACTTGAATTGAGGTCTATCACCAGCTTCCTTGAAGGCTTTTAACTTGATTTGGAAGGTTCCTTGCACTGGATAGTGGTGTGAACCTACATCTGCTCCTCTTCTTGACCTTGTGTTAAGTAGACTGCGTCTCCATTTTCTTGAGATTGAGATAAAGTCAATTTGATTTTTAGTGTGTCCATCTGGTGAAATCCATGTCGCTTTGTGGATATCTTTGTGCCTGAACACACTGCCTCCAATCATCAAATCGTTGAATGCGCAGAATTCTGCAAACAATTCTCCATTCTCATTCATTTCACCTAGTGCCTCTCGACCCATGGTTAGTTCTCTTCCTGTGTTGTCCCCTCCCAGTTTGGCATTCATGTCGCCCATTAGAATTTTGATATCGCCAACTGAGGTCTTGTCCAGTGTTGATTGGAGTTGTCTGTAGAATTCCTCCTTTTTCTCTTGCTCTGCATTATTTGTAGGTGCATAACTTTTTATGGTATGATTGTGACCTTTCTTCCTTTTGAGTTGAATCTTGCTGTCATGATCCTGGAGGAGATTGGTTCCCACTGCATGAGAGCCTTCGATGCTCTTGAGGACATCATGATAGCCACTCCATAACTCAGTGTGCTTTTTTCGTGGTTGTCGTCTGGGTGACTTTTTCGGAGTAGATTATTGATTCTCCAGTTGATAGTTTGGAGAGTCCACTTCCATTCCATCTGCTCTCGCAAATCCCAAGCACTTCGATGTTATACCTTCTCATCTCTTTTGCAATCTCGGCTGCCTTACTGGGTTCAAACATCGTACGAACATTCCATGTCCCCAAGTTTACTTTCGCTTTCATCGAGAGAAGACACATCGGCCAGTTGGCTTCTCGAAGGCTTTTTTTCACCAACTGGCGTCATTTCGCCTCTCCGATTCCAGCGGGGAATAAGTTTGTTTTCATTTTTTATATTTTGTTTGTGCTTTGAAGTTTGTTTAGCGGTTAGATTTGTTTTACGGCGTAGGGTTGCTAGCCCTATGCCCAACCTTCCCTCTTTACCCGGGCTTAGGACCGGCTAGTAACTAGTGAACTAGTTAACCAGGCGAGGTTAAACAGATGGTATCTATATGAATATTTATTCTCTTATCAAGTTGACAAGAAGAGAAGCTGATAAAGTCATAGTTAAAAAAAGATTAGGACATATCAGAGCAGAGAGAATAAAGGAGTTTTCATGTTCTGGCTTGCAAGTCTGTCATATATTGAGCCGAAACGGTCAGCTACTATTGGGATATAGGCCCTTAAGCGGATACTGTCATATTGCTTGTTGTTCCAAATAAGATATTACTGAAGGAAATAGCCAGTGGCAGAGGGATCCGTGACGTGTGGTTCATCTCAATAGGGACTTGACACCTTGAGTTACCTGCCCCTCAGTGGATGATGCTGTCCCCAAAAAGACTTGAATCTAGAACCAGTCGCTTCAAACGCCATAACGTTATCCACTAGGTCAATTTAATCACTCCTTGTGAGACTATTATAATAGAGTTTTGGTGTTATAGTTAGTAAATTTCGAGTCGTAGTAGGAACAACATCACTCACAGCGAGACACATGCATCCAGCTGTGGAGTCTGAAATAGGATGAAACGTGCATCCTACACTGCACCACTAGGCATTATCCATCATTAGTACTCAAGGAAGTTCTATGTTATCCAATATACTGATTATGGATGTTCATTGATGTGAAAGAGATGTCTCAGAAATACATAGAAACAAAATTTTTTTAGAATTGGCAGGTAATATCATTACTTGTATGGTTCTCAAAAACAACGCAACTGATTATCACTTGCATAGTTAGTAGGATAAGAAAGAGACAATGAAAATTGAGGAAAAACCGTCCAGTAAGAACAGATGACAGTAAGACAATATTTAAACCTAGGATACAGTATTTTACAATAGTAGTGGCTAGCAGTGGGATCTAGGATGCGTGATTCGTCCTATTTAGGACTCATCAATGGCGTTGTCCCCGCTAAGACTCAAACTCGGAGCCGGTCATTTTGGACCTCAGAGCATTATCTATCGGGTCACTAAGTTACGATGGCCACTTCTTGTGCGATGAGTACAGTTTGAATGTTATTACTTGTATCATCCTCTCGTTAACCGAACAGAAGTAACGACCCTTAGATGCAGTAGTTAGTGCAAGAAGTAGACTTACATAATTCCTTCTGATTTTTAGACTGATTTCTTTACAGGTGCTACAGATTTTCCACTTTAATTTTCGAGCAAATGAAAACATATTAAGTAGAAATAACAGAAAAAGTGACTTAATCTACTAGAAAATACCAAAGGTAGGTCAAACGAAGGTGTCCTCAAGTCAGATCATAGTCTGCTTTAATCGGCAGACAAAAAAAAACAGTGAGGTTCTATCTGAAAAAAAAAATCAATTCAACGACCATTTGTCTTCCTCAGCTTCACTTAAAAGTGTTATTGAATCTTCATTATGTATAGTCTTATGTCTAATCTCTTTCAACAGAGTGATATATTTAGTTTTAGAGCAATGTAGCTGATATAATGAAACTGGTTGTTCATACATGAAGTCAACTGTAAGCATAAATCATTGATTCATACGTTTGAGTTGAATAAGTCAAATTTTTACATTTATCTGATGTTCATTAAATTATACTTCTTTTTTTATATTCTTTTCTAAAACTAAAAATAGCTGCTCAGATAATCAACCATCGCAATGTACCCAAGAAATTCAGAAAGAAAGAAATGAAAACTGTTGTAAACGAATGTTAATTAGAGGTAAGATTGGAGTTTTCTTCCTTCCTTTTATTTACGTATTACAATTATGGAAATCTACTTACAGTATTCAATTTTGAGAGAGTTGTGGAGATTTGGCAATATTTCAAGTCGCTACTCATCGTAGACTGACATCAGTTGGAGGAACAAAGGAAACCTGAGAGCACTGGACAGCAGTTTCCTTCCAGTACGTGCTATATCATGAGCTAACAGAAGTTAGAAATATGGACCATTTGATTCTGACCCAGTGGCCTAATGGTAATGTGCTGGCCGCGGAAACTGAAGTTAGCGAGTCCGATCCCTGGCGAGGTCGTGGGTGTGCATTACTGAGGAGTCCCATACTAAAACGAAACAACTGCCGAGTACTCCCAGGTTTCTTTTGTTCCTCCAACTGATTACAGTATTCACCTTAATGCTTACTTTGACATGAATTAGATATATTCCACAAGTTTCTTTTGTCATCGCAGAACTGTCTAGAATAAATTATATAGCATAAGATTAATAGACTACAATACATTAGTATCACTATTTACTATGGGGACAAATGGAGAGGTTTTTTGATTGAAACATTAAGATGAATGATTAGGATTCCGACAATATAGAAGTCATTACTATTTATTGACATACTTGTTATTCTCCATTGTTTTGTTGGATCGAATTATTCGACCTCTATTGGCATATGGCTCCTATGCGGATGTCCCGATATTGCCTGAATGCCAATTATGATAATTTGGCTGGTTGCGGCTAACAGAAGAATCCAAGACGAGTCCCAAATAGGACGAAACGCGTGTCTTGAATTCTTCTGCTAGCCATAACCAACCAAATTATCATAATATAGAAGTCAGTCACTTCAGATAGAAATTTCGTATTTGTTGACACACAATTATAAAAGTGACTGATACTGAAATAGTATGAGCTGGAAGATTGTAAACAAAGTATGAGTATTCCAATATAGTAGCTGTAAACCAGGTTTTTGTGTATAACTGAATCAAAGTAGAATTTCACGATTCTATATCCACCATGAGCTCATTTAGCTTAAGCCTTTCCATTCTTGAAATGTTTCATAAACTGATGTATTTCAAAGTCTCATCAAAAACTTTTGATGGTTTACATTAATTTCAGTTATTCACTTTGTCACTGAAACCAGATATATTTAAGGTTCATTTTCACTTCTTGGTTATCTATCAATTAGTTTCAGGCTTCAGAAATTCTTGTTTTTAACTGACTTTCCTTACAAGTTCTTTCCTTGTTTATTTTTTCAAATGACTTTGTTATTTTATGACATGAAAATCGACATTGAAATTATTTTTTGCCTGTTTATTCAGTTCACTCAAAACTTTTTTGAAATGGATGCAGTGTCCAAGATTTTGATAACCAGTCACCGTATCTCATGCATTCTTGCCACCTTGTCAACTCAGTGGTGACATCCCTGACTACAGAAATAGATGATACGGTTTCTAACTTATGGAGATACACCACTTCCTTGGACGTTGCAGTCAAATGTTAATTAATATGGCCAAAGTGTAAAGTTTCTTGCTGATCGACTTCAACCATCTAGCACCACTGTGCAGCATATGCATTGGAATTTTGACAAATAAAATCGTAGAGAAACTGTGGGTAACCCACTAATTGGATAGGGTCCTAAGTTTTAATACATGCAGTTTTCACTATCGCTAGTGTATAAGCTACTTTGGCATGTTCTCTGACAATGCATCAGGATTCTGATAACCGAAGTGAATTGGGAGTTTGTAATTTTATGTGTGCTTTAAAAGTCATGGTGACTTGAGACCCAATAATGAAACATTTAATGGTTTCTACCTATCTGAGAAAATGATGAGCTCTCACTTCGTCACCTGATGTGCACCTCGCTTTATAAATATACCATATATGAGATTCAGAATTTATGTACTTGAAGTGAGATTTAGAATAAAACTGATTGAGTGAAGAAATATCTTCCTTTTCAATCAGATCTTCGTCTTCGGCTCTACAATAACGATCTAATCAAATTACCAATCAAGTAGTGGGGGTGTGGTGAAAAATAATCATAGATTTTGAGTAAGTTATGAAGATGATTTAGAAATAAAGCTGTAACTACTCAAAAGAGTTATTAAGATTAGTAATATGAAGCAGACTGTCCTTAGGTAAATTGGGTGATTTTTGATGAGTGTTCGGTCATAATAATAAGTGATTGTGTAGTAATAAGAAAACAAATGAGTACTGACAGAAATAAGAAGGGGATGATAATTACAAAATAATACTAGAGGTTGCATCATAGGATCCACCCTTGGGTCCGCTCCTAGCGGATTTTTTTCCGGCAAAACAAGGGAATGGTCTGCTGAACGAAACCATCAACCGTTTAGAATTATATTGTCGTTACATGAATAGTACCTTTATAGTTCTCAAAAGTAAGACTGATAATAATGCTGATCTCAATAAGTCCAGTAGCATTCATTCGGCAATCAACTTCACAATAGAAGAGGAGAAAAATGACAGTATCCCATTTCTTCCTATTCTATTGGTAAGAAGGTTGGATGGAATTCTGAAACGAAGTGTATATAAAAAGCCAACATTGACAGGTAAGTACACTCACTTCTTTAGTGTCATGCCCATCCAATACAAAAGGAACCTAGTGAAATGTCTGGCATACCGCACTACGGCCATTTGGTCAGATGATGGTATAAAGGAAAAGTGTGCCACCATCTGCGACTCACTTTTAGGAATGGCTATCCAGACAAGTTTGTGACCTAACGTATGAATGTTACAAGGGTTAAGACACGAATGCTAACAGTTCCTAAGAAGCAAATCTTCTTGAGGCTGAAATTTAAGAGTGACATTGTCAGTGAGATCATCACACAACGCACAAAGGGAGCCTTGCGTAAACCATTCTCTGCCTCTGAATTCTGTCCTATCTTCTACAGCCGCGCGATTCCAGGTGGAGGAAAAAAAGTTGGTAGATTCTGCCATTTTTACATGCATTTATCAATTCAACTCCTCCTGCGGAGCAGTTACGTTGGGTGTATAATGAGGCAGGCCCATCGTCGAGTTCCTGAGCACCACTCATCATAGTTGAGCAAGAAACAAATTAGAACAATAAGAAACTCCATGCTTGCACATCTAGTTGGCACTGGGCATCAAGTAGATACTAGAAAAGCTTTCAAAATTATTCATCACATTCTAATTAACTTACCACATGGATTATGCACTCGCTTACTTCACATAGCAGAGACGACTGCAATCCACCTTCACAAACCTAACCTTTGTATTCAGCAGAAGTTTGTTTGACCACTTTCATTACTATGGCTGTCCGTATGATGTAATTTCTAGTATTACTTTGTACACCTCTTCACCTTCTTGTTTTTATCAACATTTATCTGTTTTCTTACCATTGTGTAGTTACATTGTTTATGACCGAACATTCATCAAAAATCACTCAATTTACCTAATGAATAACCAAATGACTTTAAAGATCACCCTAGCAACAACTGAAGTGACCAATTAGACTTATGCATTTTACGCAAATCTGCGTTTCCAGGCGAAATTAAGAAACCTGACTGCTTATTTTGACCGTTGCTTAATATTTCTAATTTTAATAACTCTATCGACTATTACATCCTTATTTCTAAATCATCTTCATAACTTACTTAAAATCTCTGATTATTGTTCACCACACCCCCACCACTTGATTGATAATTTGATCAGACTGTAAAACTATATATTACTGTAGAGCCGAAGACGAAGATCTGACTGAAAAGGAATATATTTCTTCGCTCGCTCAATCAGTCTTTTTTCTAAACGTCTAAATAAGAATATTCAGTGTGCTGAGTTAGACTTGTCACATTGATGTTTCTTCAGCTTATTACTGTCATTATGAATGAAATTCTAATCTGGCATTCAATAGTTCCGGATTGAAGAAGCTATCTACTTAGTCATGATAACCATCTTCAGAACAATGATATACCATCAATAAAGGTATAAAGACTTTTATAAGGAGATTCTTTATTTTATTTCGAAAGAATTAATACTAAACTAATCAGAATTCAAGTGAACAATGATACATAAAAATTTTTGTGGTGTTTATGAAATATAGGTGATTAGCTTTTTGCAACTTATAATATAATTACAAAAATCACTTCTTTATCGTTATTACTAAAAGCTAGTCAGAAGATACTTCTGACTGGAATAAACCATCTTCAACTACTCATCTGCGGTGGAATTCTATGCTACAAACCGAAGTAACTTTAATTGTTGAGTCAGTTAGACAAAATGTATTTGGTTTAAAATCATGGTATAATTGTGGAATCAGATTTCCTTCATTGTGTCATTGCTACTTCTTAGTTTTCATTTTGTAAACTACTGGGAGGAAGCATATTATCCAAAAAAACATGCTGAAAAATTCCTAAATGTAATGGAGGAGACAATGTAATGGTTCAACTTAATATTTTTGGTGATGTGTATATAGTTTGTACCAGCGGAAGTTCTAGGAAGAATGTGAAGTAATCAACCACGCTTTTAAGCTAAGCGATAACTAATCATGAGTTAAATCCGAAATGTTTGGTTCCAAAAAGATAAGAAAGCTGGAAAAAGACTGAATGCAGTGGACAATATTAAAAGTATTTGGAACACTTGCTTTTTCTACCGTATTTAATGGCTCACTGATCATTCGTTTGCCACTATGCATCCATACTTCCTAGATTTTGTCAAATTATTTCTGTACTATTTGCTATATAGGGTTAAGTAATGAAGACCAAGACTAGCAATGACGGTAGATTGTCCTCATAAAAATCCACCAACTCCATGAAAAGTTCTCCTACTATTTTGACTAATTAGTAGTAATTGCATTACAGCAGATGTGTTACGTCGTGATTTTTCAACGCCAGTATTACTTTCAAAATATTTTCGATCTTGAGATGATGAAGCATATTTGTAGCATATGAGGGTAGTTTTGATGGCGTCGTCTTTTCTGAGCTGAATGATTTAATGACAAAACTTTTGTTGTTGCCTAAAATGACAATAGAAGCTTCACGTTTAAACCATTTAGCTCTGAATATATAACACAATCAAAATCATTTTCGATCGTCAATCTGTACTGGCGTTAGTCAGTACTATCAAGTGTGATTTGATTTCACGTAAACACTCAGTGATGTCAGTTTCTAGCATTAGGCCACTCATCACTAGAAACAAATTTCATGAACCCTGTTCGTTTGAATTAACATCACAGTTTGTTCTTTACAACAGATTTTCTCATTAAAAATCACATCGACAACCACGTGATTCCGTAGCCACATTTTAATGTTTTATTCACGTTTACTGATGAGTAAACCTTTTCACAACTACTTTACCTATTTCAGATTGAAACATATCATGGACTGACATTAGTTAAAGGAACACTGGAAACCTAGAATCACCGGATAGCTGTTTCGTCCCAATACAAGGCTCTTCAGCAGTTCTCACCCATGACCCTGCGATCAGTGGTGACTAGCCTCGGGAGGTGATTCCCGAAGCCCCAATGAGAATTCGTGACCAGAGGAGCCAACCAAGTAGAACATGAGGATGGTTAACGAACGATGACATTAGATGGAGGTCACACTATACCGTGAAATGACAGAAGTAAAAAATGTGGACCAATGGATTCCGACCAAGTGGCTCAATGTTAAGATGATGGCCACGGAACCTGAAGCTCATAGACTTGATCCCTGGTGGGAGTGGGTCACAGGTGAGCACTGCTGAGGAGTCCTTCAGTAGGACTAAACACCAGTCGAGTGCTGCCAGATTTCCACTGTTTCTTCAACTAATGTCACTCCTTGATGAATTGTGACCCTTAATCAATTAATAAATTTCCACAAACCTCCAGATCCAACTTTATCTACTTGTTTTGAAAAACAAATTACTAGCGGAAGTTTAATAATTATTTTAATATAGATAGATATTTCCATCTGAAAATATGCTTATTTATCCACTGAAGAAATGTTGAAGAACTGGCCAAAATCATAACATGCCGCAGGTTTTTTGAAGAGTTTTTCATTGATCTGCTCCGGATACTATACGCCTGTACTTCACTGCGTTAGGCTTGAAGATTTTCACTTTCTAACAAAAACCAAACTCAGCCATGAAAGGTATTTAGGGCCTTCTGGCTTTCAGTAAGTCCAAAGACAGTGTCAATTCTGAAAATAAAACTATCCATTAATAATGTCGATTATTTCTTTATAAAATGTACGAAATAAAAATCTTTACTGATTAACACTTCCGCTAATCTGAATAGTCACAACCATCAGGTTGGTTCTTTTAATCCCAGGTTCTGACTGAAGTTGATGTGAAGTCATATCCAGTAGAGAACAAAAAATTTTTCGTGGTCATTACTTGGCTACTATATCCGTCGAAGTATAAAATCGAATAACTTATAAACAACTGCAGGTAAAATTTACAATTTGGCTAAACTTCAGTGACGATACCTGTCCGTATATTTATACCATAATTAAAAAACCAAACTGTCCCTAGTTGTATTGGTTGAAGAGAATGACTGAATGATTTCTTTACGAGCATTCAGATTAGTAAAACTTTTCTACTCACTATATTTTGCATGTTATTCAAAACTATTTATATGCAGTGTAACTATTAACGCTAAATATCGTCGCACATGAAGGGACTTCGGAAATTTGGACATAGCAACAACAAGTTTTGAGAGATGTATCATAAGGAAAAGATGTAAGATGAAATACTAAATAAACAAGCTGTTCGCTAGGATACTTGCAAGTTAGTTACTGACTTATTTCACCTATTGACAATGCTAGACTCCACAAGTGAAGCACGGCTGAAACAAACTGTTTGTTATTCTTTTGAAAGGCGCTTTTGGTATTAACACTATATGCTTAATCATGAGCTGGTGATGCCATTCCGTTTTTTCGAAATCCAAGCTTCTTGGGATGTATTCATGGAAATAAACAACCATGCTTTTTTCCCTTCCAATTTATTAAATCCAGTAGATTGCTAGTGTAATTTGATTTGAGGTAAGATCTTGAGCTGATGAAGAATATCTGAAGCTCAGAAGATATTTTTGATATTGTATTCTCTGGGCTAGATGCTTTGTTTTTAGGGTTTTCATTGTCGTTCTACAAAACATCATCAGCACAAACTTCAGAGAAAAGTAAGCTATAAGGTCTTCTCCGCAATTTATTCAGTAGCGTACCCTGATGTCCTTGTTTGTGATTGGTTTGTTTTGTCTGAGGTCTTATCATTTTCTCCACAGTTATTTCGATGGATTGTCCTGATGAACTGAAATTTGACGTTCCTGGCGTTTTTTATTGGTTGAGAGATTAGGTCAATGTCAATATGTCTGTTGGTTGCCAACTGGACTGTATACCAAGCCTCAAAATATTCTCTTGGATTCTTGAAATTTTTTCTGTTAGGCAACTCTACATTTTCTTAGTCAAATTCTTGTCCACAGATGTCTTCATGCTTAATGTAAGATCTGCATTTGCCTACTTTTATTTGTACTAGTAATCCGGTTACCATGTCAAACTTGATGAGTCGCCGAATGTGGATTTTTAGCGTTTAATAATTGTATTTGTCATATGATCTGCTATGATTTCTCTCATGATAAAGTTAGATTTTTCTTTCACTCCATTTACTTGACCTTCAGAGGAAACTGCACTCAGCACGATAACCACTCTCTTGAAGAGTTTCATCAATTTCAAATGATTTCTTTTCAAAACTCTTTTGTTACGAACGAGAAAATAACTGAGAGATTTGAACTGGATCACTTTGCATCTGAAATCTAGAAAAATAGAAAGTTAGTGGATCTCATTTGAAAATACACAGATAATTTGTTGGTCAACTTCTAAGCCACAAATTTCCTCTTAGAAATTCAAGAAGCGCTATTGAAACAACTTGGCAAATGGCGTATTAACTTTGGAGGTTGTTAGGATTCGATTGATTTTAAAAACTGAAATCAGTTTGCAGAATGTTTAAAAACCTGGAAGCACTGGATAGCTTTCTCGCTCTAGAACGAGACTCCTTGGGATGGTGCACCTGAAACCCCATAAAGGACTAGACTCAAGGTATTCAGACCTCAAAGCGAGTATGTTGTCAGTGAGTTAATTGATCAGAATCTTTTGTTTCGCATCTTCCTGCTTCTGTCAGTTCGTCATCTAGATCCACCATCTTCCAATGACATTGCTGAGTATTTTTCCCCATAACCGAATCCGTCAAACCCATAGGTCTTGGCTTCTCATTGGAACTTCAAACTGAATTACAGTTCACTGTTCATTAGGGATGTTCTTCAAGATAAATTTCCTAAAGTATGACGAGAAGCTGTGACCTATGAGGTTGATTAACTTGGTTGTCAGGACGAATAGACAGCGAGGGCATTAGAAGTTGGTGGCTCTATATAGTGAATTGATGGGAGTCAGATGTGAAACATTGGATTCTGATCAGTTAACTCACTAAAAATAGGATCGTTTCGAGACCTGAATACTCCATGTCCGGTCCCTCGTGAGGTCACGAGCGAACCATCCCAAGGAGTCTAGTACTAGGACGAGACGGCTGTTCAATACTCTCGGTTTTTTAATTATACTCCAAACTGATGTCAGTCCGTGATGAACCTCACCTTGAAATAATGTTTTTGTTAGCAACAAAAGTATAATTCAGTATTAACCGACACATACAGCATTTTTCAGGATTGTAAATACTTTTATTTAACATTTATGCTACGATAAACATGTAATGAAACGAAATTAGCTGAAACCAAATTGTTTCTTTTCTCTTAGAGCTTAGGAAAACTAACGTTGGAAGCCTTTTGGAAGGTAATATGCGTGTGCAAACTATACCAGTGAAAATGGAAGGGAAATTATCAAAGAAAATGCGTTGTAAAATATCGAAAAAGCGAAATAAAAAGGCTTCTGAAGATGATAACTATCAATGTTCACACTTTTATGACAAGAGTTCAACAGCTGAACATGCGGTTGTACCCAATGAATTGAGTATAATATCAGTGAATAATGAGGAGTCGGTGTACAGTTTCATTAACTCACCACTAAGCATGAACACTAATCAATTTCAAAAGCCTTTAAATAGTCATTTATCAGAAGATTTCAAAGACAAGTTGTTTTCACCTTCAATGATGAATATTTTTGAGGCGACAACATGCAATGATCAAGTCAATAGTACACAATTCGAGTTAAACTTGAATCAACATTTTCTAATGGATCATAGTATTCCCTCTGTTTGTTCTTCAGTGGATGGACTGATTCCGAATAGGGGATATTATTGTGAATCGAATGACAAAAATTCTAATGTTTATGGGTTGTTTGAACAAACTCCAGTTATTTATGATTGTTGTGATATAGAAACGAAAAATGAAATTCATATTAATGAAACAACAGCAGAAACAATTTGCTTATCAACAAATTATCAAGGACTGGTTTATAGTTTACCAGAAACACTTAATATAAATAAAAATATAAGTGATGTCATCACAAGAGAACAGATGAATGATAATACAGCTTATCATGAAGTTATAAATGATCAATGTCAAGGTCACCTTCACCATATAACTAATCCTTTGTGGGAAATAAAGCACTTTACTGGGATATAAATAACTTATAGAATATTCTAGAATTGGGAAACGCTTTTTATCCATTACTTATATTACTGGTATGGATTAAGTAATTTTGCCAAATAAATTCAGTATATAATCCAGATGTATCCTTTTGTACAGGCTTTCATGGATGCGTGTGAATATTTTTATGCTATTGTGTGTTGACTATTTTAATTTTTCGAGGCTTATTTGAAAGTGGATGATAATAAATACGCGAAACTATAATAACCCAGTGAGATACTTCGACTAGATAAGAGTAGCGACTATTCTCCTTAGACCTAATACTTTATTTAACCATAAAAATCAGAAGACGAAGACCAGTCTGAGACTTAAAGGAAGGCAACTTTATATGAGAAAAAATTACATTTATTCACAGTTTTTCCTTAGAAAAAGAGCCACAAGGTCACAAATAGAACAAAATTGTTCTGCCTATACAGTAACATGAAACTGAAGTTGAAATCCAAACTTCTACCTTTATGGCTAATGACTTAGAATGCTAATTTCGATTAAGGCCACTTTCTGTCATTACTGATTTCACAAATGGGATAACGCATTCCTCTAATTTACTGTTCTTTTGTTCACACTTTAAATATCATGAGCAAAATTAGTAAACGTAGATGCGGAACAACGAAGATATTTTCCCAGAAGAAACCAGGTAATAAAAAATGCATTCGAAAAAACTGGCTAGTTCCTGTCTCCTAGTCTGAGTGGAATTTATTCAGGTTGTGAAATAATTTCTTTACTCATCTAATGATCTCACTACTAATTTACTTTCGCTGAATAAAGACAGAGTGTTCTTCAGAATGAAACCAACTCACAGGTGACCTAAAGACAAGAAACGTTTCAGAGTTAGTTGCCACATGGTAACCAACAGTGGAATCCATAGTGCACGTCTTGACCTAATCAAGACTCGTCAACGAAATGTAACTGTATTCCAGTGAGTGATAATGTTCTCACTGATATCTTAATTTAGCGCTCATTACTTTGAATACCACAGCGTTGACCATAAGCCTCATGACTCATAAGACATCCATTCACGAAGCCCACATCTCAAGATTGATCAGTCAGTTCTGTCCTGTATAGTAAGCAGTGGGATCCTACAAGTATAAATAAATCACGTTCCAGATTATTTCACAGTATTTCACTTAATTTAATAAAAATTTGACAAAGAAGCTATTTAGTAAGCAACAAAGTAAATCGAAAAATGTCATTTCTCACGTCTTTAAATTAACATCTAATTTTTTCCAGACAATACAATGTGATATGACACTCCAGTGGTAATGGCTAATCCCATGTGAATTGATCAGTCCCAAGGACTGGAAACTAGTAATGATCATCATGGGATAAACTAAAGAATAAAATAATTACATGATCAGTTTATAAAAGATGAAAAAAGTTGTCACATAATTATTAGTCTACGAGATAATGACTGTCTAGAGTATTTATGCAAGAATAATACTAAAGGGAGACAGCAAACTACAATAATGATAACAATATCAATTTTTAGGTTGAATAAAGGGTAAAGTCTGTCTATGCTCCTTATATGGATAGCCAAAGTAAAGAAGTTTGTAGTAAAAATTCTTTTAGAAGATACTGAACCATCTTATTCACATACATTTTGATGACTTCTGCTAAATAAAAGAATTTCATGGAGTGACATCGGTTGGAGGAACACTGGAAACCTGGAAGCAGTGGACAGAAGTTGGAAATATGGACCATTGGATTCCGAACCAGTAGCTCAATGGCAACGTGATGGTCACGAAACCTGAAGGTCAAGGGTTCTATCCGTGATAAGGTCGTGGGTGCGCACTACTGAATAGTCCTATACTAGGACGAAACATCCCTTGAGTACTTCCAGGTTTCCAACTGGTGTCAGTTTATGATGTATACCATCTTAAAAAGTCTCTAAATCCCCACAAAGTCCCAAGAATTCTATTTAAAGAAGATGGAATTGTAAGACGTGGATAAAGTTACAAAAAATACATTTAACAACTCCAGAGTTTTTATTCCCATCTAATTGGTTACTAAAGTCAGCAGGTTGTCAGGCTATAAAAAATTCTTCCAGTTTGGTAAGCTCTTTGATCGACTATGATGCATGATGCTCACAATGTTGATGCTCAACTATTTCTGAAGTGTATTTGTCACTGCTTTCATTTATATGGAACCATCTGTGGTTTAAATATCTATTGCAGTGAACAGAAAGGCATCCTTACGACCAAATATCCTTATGTTCACGGTGAGCTTAAATTCGTTCTTAACCTTAGTCATACTATTAAATTTTTATTAAGTGGTTATCATTCAACAAGAAACATGACCTCATTTTTTATATCAAATCTGATAGTCAACAATCGTTTAAAAAACTTGATTATCCTTCACTGGAATTTCTTATTTTCTTGTGCAATAAATTTTGTATTTTAATTCTACCCTCCTTCCGTGGTGTGGAATTGGTATTCTGGTGATCATTTACTGAGTGTTGTGTGATAAAATACTTGTATTAGACAGTTATAGTTCTTTTTCAATTGTAGATTAATACAACGCTTAAAAATGGGTCACTTCAGATAACTAAGTCACCTTAAAACCAATTCCATATCATCCTCTCACACATTCAGAAGGAAAACGTGTAAAGTTATCAATGTAAGGTGTATGATAATCTTTCGTTTGGCTCATACATACTTACAGGCAGAAGTAAAGGCTCCATTTAAGGAACTTGTGAGTACCAATATTAATAGGATTGTATGTAGATACCAGTGAATATTGTTTGATGGTGAAGAAACTCCAGTTGTTTTTAATTCGGTGTGAAGTTCATAACTTAAGAAGTTCGAGCTATGACAGTTAATTTAGATGAAGTAGTTACAACTGGAACAACCTGTGATGAACCTAAGAGTCACTTAGACAAGATGTTACTAAGATTTGGTTTATTCCTGTTATTATGCTGACCTTGGCAACTAACAAAATAATCTAGGGGGAGCTATCCATCCTATTTAGCAGTCGTCGACAGGATGTACATGTACCCCAGTGAGTGATATTGTCCGCACTGAGACTCAAACCTAGTACCCATTGCTTCAGAAAGTAGTGTTATCCACAAAGCCACTGGAGCACGATGGCCACCTTTTGTGCAAAGGGTAACAGTTGTTTTTATGATACTTGTAATTTTCCTTTCCTATGCAGGGTCGAATCACTTGACCACTGATGGCGAATGCGCTCCTATACAAACGTCTCGATATTGCTGAATATTCATGATGTTACACCCATCTTAATGACTACCATTGTGAACAACATCACTCACGGGGATGTAGGTACATCCAGCTGATGAGTCCCAAGTGGGACGAGACGCACGTTCTAGATTCATCTGCTGGTCACCAAGATCATTGTAACATCATGAGTATTCAACAACATCTAGGCACCTGCATAGGAGCCTACCTATCAAGAGAGGTCGAGCAATTTGGTTAATTCCTTTCACTTTCCAGTTAAGGGAAATTTGATGTATATTGCATACAATTTCATGAGTGATTCTCATGAAAACTACCTGGAATTATAGTTAATTTTATTTGGTGCACCATGGTTGTATTTGACTGAATAGTAACACTACAGTCTTCTGTGACAGTCATTTTCTTGAGGTGGACCTTGTCAAGTCGAAGAAGCTTTTGATCCTCTTGGAAAGAGTGAAAAATAAAACTTCACTCATTACTGTTGTTTCCGTTGGAAATAAATTGGAAGAGGGACATGGTCTGTATTTTTTTTATTGACGATTGAAGTGTAAGAATCTGGCTACCAAGACCTACTACTTTAAAACTTCAGTAATTACCTACGTCAAAGTTGACAAGAAGATATTATTTACCCAAAGTTCAAACAGTTTATATATTTCAATGTGGACGTTTGTGGGAACTTATTGACTTCCCTTTGGTATTCACCATGGACTGAAATAATTGAAGGACTACTGAAAACCTTATGAAATTTTCGCACTGTTATGAGACTCCTCAATAGTGCACATCCATTACTCTATCAGTGTCTGAACTAATGGCTCATGTGCATACCGGTGTTTGACAGTTTCTTCGCATCTGGTGATCCTATCGTTGTTCTTCAACAAATCAAAAGTGTGGGACTCGTTTAACTACATTCCGTTCACCAAAGCAGTGGTAAAATGAAAGTACATGGTCAGATTTATGTGGGATGCCCAGATAAAGAACAATAATTGGAGTATACTACACTGATTTGTAACCTGTGCATCAGCTGGTTACTTACTCATGAAAGCGTAGTGAAATCCCTGTTCTATTCACAAACAAGCACAGTACTGAGTTTAAGCAAAGCAGTTTTATTGATGACTAACAGATTTTCAAAATGATTATTAGAAATTCTGTGGTGTGAATATAGTGTATAAAAAATTAAGTGAGTTTCAACAGTCAGAAGTTCAAACCTAAAACGACTCAAGAACATTTCAGAGAGTGTGATGTCCAAAAAAACATTCCCAATAGCAGCCGATCTGGGTCATCGAGAATAGTAGGACACAAAAATTTATCAAAATATACAATGGTAAAGCCTACAGAGATTTTTAGAAAAACATGGCTATCACTGTGCGTGTGCCAACCCATGATCACACTATTTGGAGAATGAGACAGGGTGACAATTCTGAAACTCAATATTCAGTAAGTCAAGGCAGAGGCTGATTACAGAATCTTTTTTCCTTTGAATCAACACACTTAACACATATAACAGGAATAACTCATTACATATTTCAGATATATGGAAAATTTTAACACCATTACAATAAATAAGCGAACTACTGGACTATTTAAAGGAATTCTAAAAGTTTGATGATTACTTTGACATGATAGTTAAAAAATAAGTTCTGCTCGAATCACCATCTAACAAATTATATTGTGTCACTTTGTGCTATATCAAATAAACAATAACATGTTGAATTTCCAATAGTTCTCATAGTCCACAGGATATTGTCATCCACCTGTCCATGAAAAGGAATTATCAACAAAGGAAGACAT